ATAATTACTATATTAAAAGGAATATTTCTCCCGATTATACGAGTGTTTCAATTTTTTAGATTTTGCATAGAAACATAGTAGGCGTCTGCCAACATATATCAATGTCAAAATTAACTGTCATCTTTAGTTAACTTCACGCCACAGTTTTAAATCGCCTCGTTTAAAGCTGTAGTTAAACTGATTTTTTGAAGTTGGCGAAAAATGGAATCGTTGTTGATTTTCATGCGTCCATTATCCGACGATACGATGACACGATATTAATAATATTGGTTGAATTTAAAGACTTATTGGTTAGAAAATTATGCAGTTTTAAATTGTTTAAAAATTTAAAACGATTTGCTTTTGATAGGTATCGTTTTATATTTTCATTTCCATAACGATTTCGCCGTTTTACTTATAGTCTAAGAGCTAGCAACGTTTTCGGGAGATAATTTTAAGAAAGCTGGTTCTTTAAAATATCTTTTGTTACGCTCTCCTGAACAGAGTGCGGACCGTCTGGCTGCAGGTAGACCTTGCGTTCACTACTGCGCATCATATCTGTATTCAACATCTGTTCACTACTGCGCATCACAAATTCGCCCTGTATTTCAGGAACTAAGGAGTCTAGGACAAACATGTGTGCAGCATATTTAGTTTCATAAAAAGTAGTAAAGTAATATGAAAATCACTTCATTGTACTTGTGCTTGTCACTCATAAACGAGAAATCCTACAAAACACACGAAAACGGGTTACCCTGCACAGATGTGAGGCGCAGTAGTGAACCGCATTAGTCTACCGCTAGTCAGACGGCCCGCATTTTGGTAAGGAGGACATAGCAAAATATATATTAAAGAACGAGCTTTCTTAAAATTCTCGTTTTCCTGACGTTACTAGCTCTTGTACTCATCTTGTAATATTATATTTTTATTAAGGTTTGATTAAATTTGTCAAAAGTGTCAAAACGTCCGTTATCGTACGCATAGATAAAGGAAATAATTTAGATTTGATAGCCCGTCAAAATATATTATTCTTCAGTAAGCGTTATAGCGGTTGCTAAGAACAACTGCCAAACAATAACAGAAATAATTTCTCTTGTCAAAGTCAGAATCTTAAATTATAAATCTTCAAATATCTTACACGGCCTCATTGAAAAAAATACCGAAAGTGTTTAAATCGTCCATTCTCAAAGTAATTATTATCTTGTGAGTTTAATTTCACTTTTATTTACTCTAAACCCTGATAATTGTGAAAAGTGCCTGAAAAAAAACTTAAAAAGCTGTGTTGTGGACTGTGAACTGCAAAAACCATCGTGATCGTGGCATAACGTCAATTCCCAATGTTTCATAGGTATTTCACATACATGTCTTTATATAAAATAAAGTTTCTTGTATTCAACACACTGTATTTTATTTATAAAATTAAAAGAAAATAATATTTGGAGACATAATTCCGGAAAAAGCCGAACCGATCCGAAATTATCAAAAGCTTTGGGTCGCGACCGTTGCAAGAATAGCGCCAAATAGTGTTTACATTGTTCTTATGGGCACTTTCCAATCTGAACTTTCATTTATCTATGATCGTACGATCTTTCTCCGTTGACGGGATGGAGTAAAAAATTTAGAGATGAAAAGTGGCGTGAAAACGCTATGATCAATCAGAGCGCCGTCGGACCATCGTATCAATGGATAACAAGTAATCCACGGTAAAACGGGTTGATAACCAAGTCTATCAAATTTATTGATAGAGAAAGTCATGAAAACGTTTTATTCTAAAAAATATATTAATTTTAATGATATTATTCTTCATGTTTTTTTAAATCCCTTAGGCTCTCCCTAATTCAACCCTTGATTCTAGACTCGCAACTCTAGGTGAATTAAGTTAGTTACGATAGTGTGACTAACCCTACATTTGAATAATTTCATGCTAGATTTCATTTAAATCATGATTTACATTGTGAATAAGAAAACTTTGATAATCAAATAATATTTATGCAAAAATACATTGAATTTTGACTGACAAAAAGAATCTGCTAAATAAGAGAGATAAATATCACATTTTCACATACAATTTTACGAAAGTAATAAACAAATTGGCATTTTTAAACTCATTTTGACATATTAGATAATAAATATTGAAATACGAAAAACAAATTTGTCTTACTGAATCTAATAACTACTTACTTACATTTATCCCTATATCACTTTTGTTGAAAGAACTTACCTGAAAAGAAAAATGAAGTTAAACTTTATTTAAACATGGTAAATATTTAATTTTAAAACAAGCAAACTCACATATATTCAGAAATATTTGACTAAATTATACGTATAAAGAATGCACTCGTCAAAACTTCGAACTAGACTAAAAGAAAATGCTTTTACCCAAACAAGAGATAAGTGCTTAAAAAAATTCCGTTATACTGACATTATCAGAAAAGCTTGTATTTTATAGCAAGCGTAGAGCCAAGGATTAATTTTAACCTGTGACATTCAATAATTTATAATCAAAATGATAAAATATATACACATATATATTTAAACGCTAATAAATCATATTTGATCACTTATCCTGGTGGTATTAGAAGCTATTAAAACGTCCATAAGAGGTGTGACACTACGAAAAATGTAAAATAATTAATAAACTAAATTAAAATAACTTTCTTGTACTGTGAAATTCGTAAGCAGCACCCTTCATAAAAGTTTTTGCTTATTCTAAAATGGTCCATCCCGTTTAAACTTTTCCAAATGTCCATGCCGTTTTAGAGAAAAAAATAAAACTATTAGCAGTATTAGATACAATTCAATTTTTTCCTAGTCACAAAAATGAATAGCGTTTCTATGGTAATATCATTTTTAGCTTTTCTTTAATAGATGTATGATAGATGTTTATTATCAATGTTGATTAACGTCTATTTGACTTTCTGTTGTAATAGGTTAAAGAGGCACAAAATTTATGAGTTCAATGTTACGGAAAAGGTGATTTTTGCGCTTCTTTGACATTTTAAAGCAGGAAAAATATGATGTTAAATGTTAAAGAAAATTAATAATATCGTATTATAAAAATAATACTGAAGACTGATTTTGAAGCAGAGGTTTATAATATATCTAAAATCTCCAATTATGCGTCTTTGAATATTAAACCAAAGCACTAAACGTCTATGCAAATAAAACCTTGTCAATCGATAAGTGATAGACCCAAGAATAACTAGAATAATATTCTGTTAACAATGGAAACTCTTAAAATATGTATAAATTAACGCCTAGATATTTATCAATTACCAAGTATGATACTTGATAAGTGTGGCGTATCCGTTGTTGAGTAAAGATTTCATCTTCTTTGTTGGAAGTAGTATTCACTTCATTCTTTATACATGTAGAATGAGTGAGAGGGGGGTTAATCGCTGCAACCTTAAAGATCTACCGTGACCCCCTTGACTTATAAATCATCACACAGTCTATAACCCATCATACATTTCTTTTTTTTTCCTGTTGTATTGTATTTCCCATCCTCCTCTAACAACAGATGTTCTTCCTCCGAAAGTATACACCCTCCCACGGTTGGAGTTTAGCCCTCAGTGCCCTTCACAGTCGAGGTGCTTGAGGTACCTATGAGATGGAGGCTGGAGAATCTGTGATCTGTCCATTTTCTCAATTTTAACTTTGTGTTGTCCCATTCATAGAAAGAGATCTCTTTTCTCTATTCCTGACGAGATCACCCTATGAGGACCTGACCATGACCCTCCTCCTTCTAGTTGATGACTTGCTAACACGATGTCCTTACACTGGGGTTCTGGAAAAGCTGGCGATACGTCTCTGCTTGCCTCCCGGTGTTGGACGGCTATCCCTCCTGGCTTTTTTTCTCCATGCCGGAGCAGAGGTAAGAGATTGTCGTTCCCTCTCTTGCCCTTGGTGGAGATGCACCGGCTGTTTCGCTCTCCTTCGAGTGAGTGTTTTCGTTTTGCTTCCTCTGAGCAAGTCCTTCGTGGAGCAGTCGGAAGTATCTCCGTACTCCTGCTCCACTAAAACCTACTCTCAGAGGATCGCCCAGCCCGCTTGGTTGACCCAGACCGGGTAGACGAAACGGTAGCTTATGTCGCTTATTGGGTCTAGGGATAGGCTCTCCGACGAAAAAAAAAATTACATCGCGCATTCTCGTAGAGCATAAAATTTCCTAAAAAATCTTTCTGAGGGTATTTTTTTCAATTCAATAATTTGTGTATTTAAAAGCTTTGAAAAGTGAAAAAATCAAAATTTTTTAGTGTTCATTGATTAAACATTTTCATATTTAGCAAAAAACCATTAAATAAAATAGAATAATATTCTTAAAAAATATTGTTTATAATGTAGACTTGTCAAAAAAAAATAGATTTTATGTTCATTAATTATTTCTTTATTGCATTTGAAATAATTTATACACTCTTTTTAATTCTACATATTTTGATTTTTTTCACTTTTCAAAGCTTTCAAATATACAAATTATTGAATCAAAACTGCTACCAGATTTTTTAGTAAAGCTCTACAAGAACTGCGCTGTAAATTTTTTTTATCGTAAAACTGCTTCCAAGTTATGGTATTTTTAGGGAAAAAGATTTTTTACTCATTTTTTAAATGGAAAACTTTGAATATTCACCGACACCTTTAAAATTGGAGCTAAAATCCTGCCTTCGGGGATATTTTTTTCTCAGTTATTAGGTTCATTTTAACTCATACCCACGTTAAGTTTTTTTTGGTTCACCTATTATCAGGGCGGATACAGAAATTTATTTTAGGTGGGCCCAAATAAAAGTAATGTAGAATATGCATTTAAGTGCGCCATTTTTGTCCCAAAAGCCTGATATTTAACCCAATTTACAAATTTCAGGGGGGGCGGGCCCCATGTGCCCCCTCTGTATCCGCCCCTGCCTATTATAACAATATAAAGTATTACATTTAAATATTTAAAAAAAAAAAAAAAAATTTAAAATCATTAAAAATGCACAAAAACAAATGTTTCCAACAAGGTCCAACCTGGAAAAGTCAATTCAGTTGACACTGACATTGATTGTCCTTCTATAAAATGAATAAAAACGTAAAGAAATACATGGACTATTTCGGTATAACCGAATTACTCAGATTCTTCCAAACAGTGAAGGAGCATGGTGGAATCATCGCGTCCCTATATAAAATATACCGAATGGACAGCCTGAGGCACGGCCAGTGTGTGGGCGAGGACAAGTTCGGAAACAAATACTTCGAGAACAGAGAGTATTTCATCGGCCGAAGTAGATGGGTTAGTATCTGGGGGATTCGATATAGTATTGCCAAGTAATTGGGATTAATGTCGATGTCGTTCGAATGTGAGTATATTGGAGTTTACTTGTTTGTGTAATGGGAGTTGATGACGACAACGTCAACATACGTCTTTGAGAAAGGGGTATACAGTTGGATCAATGGATCTTTGCGTGCACGTCATAATCTGATGTCACCTAACGTCATACGAATCAATCAGTCGTCAAACTACCACCAGTGCCAGCGGCATTTTATTTCATACTTAAAAGAAATAATATAATTTCTTTCCAAACATTTGTAAAGTTTTTGGACGTTTTAAATTAGGAATAAATAATTGTTTATGGAAAAAGGTCATAAAAAAGGGAAAATACAGAACAATAGTATGCCTATACAGTATAATTCAATAGGATAGTTGTTACAAGAGGACAATAACTGGTGATCGAAATATTGAGTTGTTAACTAATACATTGAAATCAAGTTCTATACAGTATTAGATATCTAACTTTACAAGATTTTACCCAAATTACTATTATAGAAAGTAGGTTAAAACAAAAAGTCTAAATATTTTGTTAAATAATACCTCCAACAGATAATAAATTCTAATGAAAATGAAAATAATTTATTAATTCCTACAAGTAACTTGGATCAGTACAATTATTTGTTTAAAATAGCATGGATAGTATTTAAATTAAAATTTGAAAATGTACGTAGTCCAATTTTAGTTCTCCCCACTCTCACTATCTTCTGAACTTTCCTCATCACTGACATTGATAAACATTTGGGGTACTTCTTCAATAATGACTTCCCTATCATACCAGTCTTCGATTAATTTTTCAGTGTGAACCACCTTAGCATGCCATATTTCTGGTGTACATTTCTCTAATGCTTTTCTCCACATATCTAGCACATTTTCATCTTTATGTCCATTTTCACCAATGTGGGCATTTGTAAAATATTTTGAATCTGCCCATATCATTTCAATTGCATTAAACTGGCAATAGTAAGGTGGTAATCTTAATACTTCATGACCATTTTCTTGTAATAATTCTATCTATTTTATATTGTTTTGTTTTTTTGTGAATTTTTGCTATGCTTAATAGTTCAGGTTTAAACATTTTTTTATCATAAGGTATATTACTTTTCTCCAACCACTCAACAATTTCATATTTCTTCCATGAGGATGATGGCTGTCTCTCTAACTCAACAGAATGGTATGGAGCATTATCCATTACAATAAGGGAAGGTTCTTCTAAATTTGGGATGAGCTGGTTTTCTACCCACTTTGTAAACATTTCTGCATTCATTTCCCCATGATAATCCATTTTCTTAGATTTTGAAGCAAAAATTAAACCAGCATTTTTAACAAACCCTCCACAGTGTCCGGCATGCAATACAATGAAACGTTTGCCATCAAAACCACCTGGCTTACGAACACTATTAACACTATCATCCTGCCATGATCTCATTTTACTGCCTTTGGAAAAGATCCACGTTTCATCTAAAAATACGAGTTGACGAGGAAATTGCGAATTTTTGTTTTCCATGTATTTTCTGAAAAAGGCTGCTCTCATAGAAGCTATATTGGATGTCTCCATTAATGCTCGTCTGTCATCCTTTGTTTAAATCCCAAACTAAAAAGGAGTGTTCGAAGACTTCCATAACTTATGTCAACAATTTCTCTGCGACGCAACTCCTCGTTTAGTTTATTAATTGTAACTTGTTTCTCTGAAAATATAAATTTAGTAAAATAGTTCAGTAAAATAATATTGGTACTTACTTTGTGCATACAAGTCATACAGAATATTGCGAACCTCCATCTTCAAACCTTCATTCAAGTCTTGAGTTTTACATTTTTTTCGAGGTCTGTTCTTTCCCGGTGTTGAGGGTAGCTCATTTCGATCTTTAGACATTTTAATGCTTGAAACCGTTCTTAAACTGATCTTCAAGGCATCAGCAACTCTCTGTAAATTTATTAGTTAGGCACTTGTATTTTTATAAATCAAAATATATATTTACCTCTTGAACAGCATTCAGGGAAATTAGTGGCCCCTTATTCTCTTTTTCAGACGTAAAATAAGAGATAAGATTTCCAACAAGGATACGTGCTTGAGAATTTAAACGTTTTCCTGGCATTTCAATGTTAATGTTAAATTATATTAACGAATCAATGAAAAATAAATTTTGGAAAGAACTGTTGTTAAATCACAAAAGTTTTTAAAAGCTAGCTCTAAATAAACGATGTCCAAAGAAAATAAAGATACAAAACAACTTTCCCTAACTTTTTGACAAATGACATAAACATAAACACTGAATGACAAAAATGTCATGCATGGATGCTGCCAGGGTTTTACAGATGTACGCACGTCTCCACAAAATGTACTAAATTGTAGTACAAGTTACTTTTAGAAATTATAAAGAAAAGCTGTCTTTTTTTTAATAGGATGTAGTTCTTGGATCCCTTATAAATAAAACAAGAAATTATAATGCAAATGAAGTTAGTATGAAGTGAACACCAGTGTACCTTTATTAAAAAAATATACCAAATTTAGTACATTTCTTTTAAAACGAGAACCCGAAAATAAATACCGATTTATTTTTGCGTTCGCCGGCATTGACTTTAAATGTTTAGAAAAGAAACTTGAGTGATCCTTGGCTAGGGGTTTTCCTTGTCTTACACATAACTTTAGCTCCGACCGTATGTCGGATAACTATGAAGACATACGTTCAGTATTTCTTCGAATTGTCTTGCTTAAGTTAGAAAGAGAGCGTATAAAAGGGAATTGATTTGATGTTAATCATAGTTTTGTGACGTGCACGCAAAGATCCGTTGACCCAACTGTATCTATATAAAGTTTGTTTGTAGAAGGATTGTGACGTACATAAAGGTCGCATTAAAAAGGTCTTTTTTATACAGTGAATGCTCTGTTATCTATGGAAACGGTCGATTATTAGTAAAATATAGAGAAATGCAAAAGTTAAATATAAAGTTATAAGGTTTATAAATCTATTAGCGGGTAATATTTTAAATATACAGGGTCGGTCATAAAGTCGGCACATCAAAAGCTTCATTTTTAAATAGAACCCCTGTATATTATTATTGTATATTTCGGTTCTTCCTTCCAATTTTGGGCAAAAATCGAAATAGACACTACATGTACCCCAAACCAACCGTTTCCGAATTATTTACTTTGAAAATATCACTAAACTGCGTGCAAGAAAATTTGATCGTATTTTCAAACTTCAAAAGAGAGCAGTTCGATATTTCTTAAATTGAGAAAAGAAAGACGCTCCATTAACAAAACACCCATAAACTTAATAATTTTTATAATTCTAATCTAACGTAAGGTAATCAAGGGGGGACGGGTCAAGTCGAATCACACTAAATCTCATGTGGGAGTTTTGCAATTATGTTTTTTTTTCTCGGGTAAAAATAGTGTATCAGAGAAAATCAGCTTATTAAGCTTTTCTCCCTACTAAAGGGCTATTGAGAGGCCACAACTAGCCATTATAATTGTGCCAAATCATTGTATTACCTGATAATAATCACGTTGAATTATCTATAAAAGTAACAAATACTATATAAAGTGGGTTAATAAATTACTAGAAACAAATATTTATTCATACCTTGTGCAATTTTATCGTTTGGTGTTGACTTCGTTTTGTATACTTTGTAACAGAGTAAAAATTATTTCAGAAAAAAATAAAGTAGAAAATATAACGGGTCAATGTTATAACCTTGCACTAAATTGCTTAAATATTGTCAATATTTAAAAAATATAAATATAAATGTATTTATTTGCATTTATTATGTTTTTATCAATTTGGTCTAATCTATTTTAATTTGAAAATACATAATTTAAAAATATTTTCCTGACGATGTAAAGAAATATGCATGTTGATGATTTTGAAATGTGTCTAAATATAACCATTTTAATTACAAATTAAAAATATTATGTGATTTTAACCTAAAAAGTAAAAACATACACACTTTTTCAATATCTAAGCGAAAAATATTAAAATTCCAGTAGGATTTTGCAGATATGAGTAACGAAAGTTGTTATTTAACGATCTGTTATTTTACAACCGTAATTTGGAAATAACAGTTCATAACATAACAGTTGTTAATTTCTATAAACAATAGTAGTGCATAGCCTTGTGTGTAAGGCAGTTAGTAGTCCTGTTGTTGAATTACCACAGTTCTTGGTTGTAGACATACTGATTTTATGTTTTTATTTGTTTAACTGGTCATATTTGAAAGTTTAAATAAGTAGGAAATTATAGATAGTGGGGGTATGCATAAAAACATATTGTTATATTACGCGGTTATTTATTAGTTATCTTATGTAAAGACTACAGTAGCAGTTCTGTTCCAACTGTTATTTAGAAATAACAGTTATGCCAGGTCCTCCGACAAGACTAGCAACAGTTTTTACTTCCAAAAAATATAAATGATTGCAGATATGAAATACTACTACTACCGCCATTACTCGGTGACGAGTATTTGACACGCATTAGAAGATGATTATGCAAGGAGTTTTCTTTCATGAGCTTTTCTGAGACTAAAAATCCCGATACCTGATGTTATTTCTCTTCCGCACTCCGGACATTCAAACATCTCGTTACTTTGTGGCTTCTTTACTTTTTGGTTGTCGTTATTAACTGAGTTTACAATTCTTCTAAATTGTGTCCCTCCCACTGATTCTACATGTTTATCCCGTTTAAGTTTTCATGGAAAATATCCTTGTACCTTTTGAGTTGCCCACCTGGTTTCCTCTTACCGTCTGCAATGTGACCGGCCCATCTTAAGCCGGATTTAGTAATAATGACTTCAGCGCTCTAGCAGCTAGATTTTCAAGGACCTATACGTTTGAGACATGGTGGTACAGGGTGGTAGCAGGAGATGTGAAATAACAGTTCAGTGACATCAACGGCTTGCGTTTCTCGGAAATTTTACCAGTAAGAGAGTCAACAATAATGAGGTCGGTCAAGTTTGCCCCCCAT